TGCTGGTCAAAAGCATGTGACTATGGTGCACTTCAATCCATGGACTTGCTGCTTCCAGACCAGATGCCTATTTTATCATAGGAGTCACCAGCTCAGCCATCTCGCATGACTCTCCAAGCCGAAAAGAATGAAGTCCTAAAACACTGTTCTGATATTCATAGCTTATCAGGTGGCTGGGGCTCCAGGTCATCTGATTCCAACTTTACTACTCACTACTCTCCAACATGCCTTCCTGTAGCAAGAGGAAGATTCCCTTATTTGTCTTGTCCCTCTCCATTTCATCATGGCAAAGAAATTCTAATGGGAGAGTGCAGCAAAGGAAATCATCAACAAAATGAAAAGACAGTCTACTGAATGGGAGAAAATAACTGCAAATCATATATCTGATAAGGGACTTATATCCAAAATATATATATATATATTTTTAAAAAATCCATACAAGTCATTGGCAAAAAACAAATGATTCCACTGAAAAATGGGTCGAAGACCTAAATAGATAGTTTTCCAAAGAAGGCATACAGATGGCCAACAGGTACATGTGCTCACCATCACTAACCATCAGGGAAATGCGAATCAAAATTACAGTGAGATATGTCCTCACACCTGTTAGAATGGCTACTATCAAAAAGGCAGGAAATAGTAAGTGTTGGTGAGAATGTAGAGAAAAGGGAATCATAGTGCACTGTTAGTAGGAATGTACATTGATGCAACCTCTATGTAAAACAATATAGAGGGTCCTCAAAAAAAGCTAAAAATAGAACTATCATACAGTCCAGCAAGTTCACTTCTGGGTATTTGTATCTAAAAAAATGAAAACACTACTTTAAAAAGATAAATACACTCCTCTGTTCATTGCAGCATTATTTATCATATTCAAAACATGGAAACAACCTAGATGCCCATTAATGGATAAATGAATAAAGAAATTGTGGCATACACACACACATATACACATACAATGGAATGTTATTCAGCCACTAAAAAAAAAGAGAGAGAAAGCTTTCCATTTGTCACAAGACAGATGGGCCTTGAGGACATTATGATAAGTAAAATAAGTCAGACAGAGTAAGACAAATACCATATGATCTCCCTTATATGTAGAATCTAAAACAACAACAATAACAAAAAACAAACTCATGGACACAGAAAACAGACGTGATTACAAGAGAGGGATACAGAAATTATAAATGGCTGATTTGTGTTTTGTTTAAATAAACTGAATTTTTTTTTAAATACTAATGACAGAAATGTAGCAGACCTGTCCTGAGGTGAAGATACTGAAAGAAAGACCACAGTAGATATATAATAAGCATACAACCTGTCATGTCAGTTCCAATGCTAAACTCTCAAGAGTTTCTGAGAAATCCATAATCAACTAAAATACTCTTTTATTTGTTGCCTCATCAGGTTGATCAAGGACACACTGTCCTTAAGGCTGACTGTACAAGCTGCCAACTGATATGTTTACCCAAAAAGTGTGTAAGCAAGGCTCACTATCTATTCTCTGCAAGGTTTCTCCTTTCCAGTTTAAATATTTCACTCCATATTCTCCCTGAATGCATGATTTCTGATAAGTTGGATATCATTCCTATCTTTGTCTGTCTACAGGTAAGGTGTTTTTCCTTTGGCTTTTTTCAAGACTTTCTCTTTAATTTTTCTGCAATTTGAGTATACTATGCCTAGGTATAAAGGTTTTGGGACACTTACCCTGAGCTTCCCGGATCTGTGGTGTGATGTCCGACATTAATATGCGGAAGTTTTCAGTCATTATTTTGGGGTCTCCCTGGTGACTCAGAAAGTAAAGAATCTGCCTACAATGCAGGAGACCTGCATTTGCTCCCTGGGTTGGAAAGATTCCCTGGAGAAGGGAATGGCAATTCACTCCAGTATTCTTGCCTAGAGAATTCCATGGACAGAAGATCCCGGCAAGCTACAGGCCACAGGGTCACAAAGAGTCAGAGTTGGACATGACTGAGAGACTTTCACTTTTTTTTCTTTCAGTCATTATTTCAGTTCAGTTCAGTCACTCAGTCAGGTCCGACTCTTTGCGACCCCATGGACTGTAGCACGCCAGGCTTCCCTATCCATCGCCAACTCCTGGAGCCTACTCAAACTCAAGTCCAGCGCGTCGGTGATGCCATCCAACCATCTTATCCTCTGTCATCCCCTTCTCCTCCTGCTTTCAATCTTTCCCAGCATAAGGGTCTTTTCCAATGAGTCATTATTTACTTCAAAGGAATTGCTGTTTATAGAAGGGATTTATTTTTCAAATATAATTGGTAAACAAATACCATTCTAGGAACAATTTAAAAGCATCAATTCCTTTTTGTGTTACTATGACCTAATTGTTTCATCCCTTAGAGTGCATCAAATCACATGGAAGGTTCTTTAAAACACGGGTTGCTAGGTCCTGCCCTCAGAGTTTCTTAATCAAAAGGTGTGAGGTGCAGCCTGATCCATCTACCCTCCACAATACCACTGCACCAAATTGCAACCATGGTAAGAATTTACCAATGGAGTGGGGATGAGTGGTGTCAACATTGAAAATTTAAAATCTGGGATACTGAGTATGACTTTTTCTCAGTCCAAGTTAACCTAAGTGGAGTCCTTCACAGAGCTCCTCCTCATGGACCTCCACAGTTACTAACCAGGAAGAGCTGTACTCAGGTACTCACTGAACACGGAAAGTGTTCCCTTCTAACTCAACCATTCAATCTGATCCCTGCATTGGTTCTAGAAGGTACACACGAGTAGCTTAATATACACTCAGCTGTCTGGAATAGGACAGAGAAATATATAAAACCTGAGTGTGTCCCTTTATGCTCTCATTCTTCCATTCATTTATTTAATTTCTCAAACAGTATTTGATATCTTTTATTTTCCATGCAATTTTCAGAGAAAGCAGCAGTGAAGAACAAAATAGAAGAGACTGTTTCTGTTAAGAAGCTCACATTCTACAGGAGGAGGCAGGGTATAAATACTACTGGGGACCAACACCATTGAGAAGAATGAAGCAAGAAAGAGAAGGACTGAAGGAGGGACTAATTTAGAGAGGGTACTGGGAAAGCTTCTCAGATAATATGATATTTGAGCAGGATCTTGAGTGAAGTGGGCAAAGAATTCATGAAGATATCCAAGAAAAAAAAAGCTCCAAGCAGAGGGAACAGGAAGTGCAAGGGCTTTGCAAAGGCATGAGACTCAGTGTTTTAAAAAGCGGGAACTAGGCCAGTGCCCATAATGCATTATTCTAAAAAATGCAGCAAACTCCTTGAAAACAACTTGTGTATACCATTCTGTTGGTAAAAATAGAACCATAATAATTTTATAACAAAAGAACATATTCATTTCTAATATATGTACATATTTTATAACACTATGGTTAAAGTGTTACTCCTCAGTATTCAAACTATTTAATAACACCTTGTTTTTTTTTTACATTTTTGAACAGGTCAAATACATGCTTATAAGATGTGAATCTTATTGAATTGCAGTTTCAAGGGAAATTGCTTGATATTATCAGCATATCAATTGGAAGGTAATAAAATATTAATGTTTACTGTTCTCTAATACTAATGTATCAATATATCTTTTTTCTATCTTGATGTCACTATGTTTACAAAGTAATGTCTTTAAGTTAGAAGCAACTGTAATTCAAAGTCTCATTTTAAATCACACTTTTAATCTTTCCTATATAAAGTTTAGATTAAACTCTGAGGGCTCTGTATAAAAAATAAAACAAAACCCATTCTGAACATGACAGGTTTGTATGTACTTGGAAGAGGGGAGCTGAATGGAAGTCAAAGAAACAACCAAGGTGCACATGTCGTCTTCTCAAGACAAGCAATGCTTATGATGAAGAAAAGAATGCACAGCTATACTAGCCAATTGGAAATATTTCAAAGAATGTAAGGCTCTCGGGTAGAAATGTATAAAGTCTTATTACTCAAGAGCAGAACCAGGGAGTGTCCACCTGAACACTGAAACAGGTCTATCTATGATCACCTATTTGCCTTGGTCTTGGTATATGGACCTAATATTACCTACACCTCCTCAAAATTCACAGTTAGTGATTTCAAACATGACCATCACAATGAGATGTAAGACACTGTCTAGTCAATTTTCACTTGATCTCAACTAATAACATACAAAGTTTCAGTAGTGTCAACTAAATTTAATACTTCATAGAGCTGAAAATACCATCAGCATTATTAAGATGATCTTTCATTTCTACATAATTTTTATCATTTATTCTTCAAAATAAATTAAAGATGCATCTTTTATTATTTCCATTTTAAATGTGCTGGGGCCCAGGGCAGGCTGTTCCAAAATGTGCCTCAAGGCATACTGATTATTCTGAATTCAAATTACTTAAGAAATGGCCAGTGAAAGAGGGACACTTTGATCCCCCCACCGCTTGTCTTCCTGAAAGCAGAAGGTAAATCTTTCATGTGTAAGGTGCTCTCTCTGTCTCTGGAGGCAGGACACCCTTATCACCAGAGACGGGGAATTTGGGTAGGGAAGCCTGTTTGGACAAACCCCATTACTTCTTTTAACTGACTACTTCAAATCCATACTCTGTTCAGATTCCTCACTAATTAAGGACCCAAAGCCTAAGTTTCTTTGTCCTGTCAATTTCTCATAAATTTATTGCTTTTTTGTCTAAAAAGTATAAAAGGTTTGTGGTTTGACCACTTTTTAAGTCCCATTTCTACGAGACCTTCGTGCACATGATTAAATTGTGTTATTCTCCTGTTAAATCTGTCTTGTGTTAATTTTATTATTAGTCCAGCCATAAGAATTCAAGACAAGTAGAGAAGAACTTTCCCTTCCCTGACACATGTAAGGAAACTGGTCTTGAAAATATTATAGGACATCCTACTTGTACAACACAATATATGCTGCACTCAGGTCTAGAATTATGGGTTCTGTGTTCAGTTCTATGACTCCTTCCATATTCTCAGACTACAATCTGTGATAATTAAAGGAAAAAAAATTCTCACCTTTTTGACAGTTTTTCCAAATAACATGTCGGGAGTTTTCATAAATTGTGTTCATCCAGCTAAGCAGAATCCTTTCAGGAGTAGAATATATGTTGCTGGATGCAAAATAAGCATTGACTTTCGGTGAATTTTGCACATGTATAGGGGGCATATTATTGATGCTATATGGTACAACTCGGGATAGTACCAGAACCTGAAATTTGGATAAAAGAGAGAGAGAGAATTTTTACTACTGGAATGGCAAAATAAAAATTAGTATTTAGACAGTAAATGCTACCAAGCAGAGAGTAAACAAACAACACCAACAATTCTCTGGCATCAACTGGATGTCCTACAGTTGAACACAATACTGACACCATCTAATGCAAAGGGTGTATCAGAGCCCACAGGTTAAGAGAGCTGTCTCACAAGACTGTCCTCCACTTCAGATGTCAATCACAAGCCCAGGTCACTACCTATGCTTCTGACTAATGGGCTATCTGTTGGAGGTTCCAACAACCCCTTGTTTGGGTTCAATTAATTTGTGAGGGCAGCTCAAATAACTCAGAACTGGTTTATTACAAAGGATATTAAGAGATAGGAATGAACAGTCAGATGAGGAGATATATAAATCAATCTTTGGAAACAAACACTTAATTCCTAGTAATTTGTACCACATTAAAAACCATGAGACTCAAATCCTATAGATATATGTACAGTGTATCCAGAACATGGAACGCATAACCTGATGTGTCATTTGAGCCATTTAAAAGAATGGAAATGGAGATACAGAAAAACATCAGTGCTACGAAAATATTATTTGTAATCTCACTCTTATTGGAAAAATGCATGAGAGTGACCTTCCCTGCAAAACTAGTACATCTCAACATTGGAAAGAAGAATGTCAAATTCACAGAGGTCACGATAAAAATATTTAATTCAGTAGTGCTATTTTGACAGTGTTAATAACTTTTTTTCTATTTCCTTTTACACTGTATTCATGACAGAAGCATATTTTTAATCCCACATTTCCCTATGAATAAGAATTCATTTGCAACACCTTTTCTTCTTGTGACCAATGACTCATTCTCTATTAATATACACCACTGATGGATTTTCTCTAGGAATCTTACAAATTAATCTTTAAATAACAAAGGATCACTCTACATAAAGCATGGACTTCCTCTGAAAAAGAGAAGAAAATGTCATCATATACTTCTTTCACATATAGTCGACCCTCTATATCCACTGGTTTCCCCTTGTGGGTTCCACATCCTTAAATTCAACCAATCACAGATAGAAAATATTCAGAATTCTTAATACAAAAAGCAAAAAATTAAATTTGTCCCATGCTGACAACTATTTATATAACATTTAAACTGTATTCACAACAATTTATAGAGCATTTATATTGTGTTAAGTATGATAAGTAATCTAGAGATAATTTTAAGTATATGGGAGATTTAAAGTATATGGGAGACTATGCCTGGGTTTTATGCAAATACCATGCCATTGTATAAAGAAGACTTGAGCATGTTCACATTTTGGTTTCTGTGGGGGATTTAAAATCAATCACCCTTCAATATCCAGGGGTGACTATATACTTATTACAGATGTGGAGAGTTATTCATATATTCCCTATACATGGCTATATCCAAATAAACTGCAATATCTGTTACCTCATGTGAGAATAACTGTGTTTCCACATCACATTCCAGTGACATTATGGACCATCCTGCAAATCTATTTAATGAAAGAATTTCACCAATTTTGCTTTCATGCCAATCATATTTTATTGAAGCTCATTTAAAATATTCTTCAGCAATATGATCCCTCGTACCATTTTTGTTTGTTTTCTACAGAGGTATATAATTCTGAATAATGTTTCAATATAATTGGTATCTTGTCTCCTTTACTAACAAATATTCCTATTTTATTATAGGGAGATTTTAAATTGGTTTGGGGAAAATATTTTTAATTAACCAGAAAGATCATTGCTCCTAGTTTAAAAATATCAATATATTTGACAGAACTATGTACTATTAAAAAAATACAAACCTTTCTGACCGGTAATACACTGGGAACAAATGAAAAAAAGGTATAATTAAACTTATTATTCAGTTATACATCTGATCACCTTTTTATTTTCCAGGTTCTTTTGTAGAAATATGACATTCAATTCTTATAGCACATACAGATTCATCCTTTATATTACATGAAAGCCCTCTTTATGTAATATAGTTTATATTTAGAAGAGCATTCTGAGTTTAAGTGTTTCTCTTATTGTTTTCAACTCTCTTATGCTTCAGTGACCCATTTTTTAGCTATCAACATATTTTTGTGATTGGGAATATAATGCAAGGAAACAGCATCAACTAAACATGCAAGTTTAACAAGCAAAAATAACCAAATGACATAAAATCAAATTGGTTAAGACAAGCTATATCCTGTTATCTAAACTATTAGCAAAGAAGAAATGACAAAGGCATTCTTGAAGTGCACATATGACCTATAGGAAAGAGACAATTAGAAACTAAAGGGATTTGTGCGAAAAATCAGTCTTCTATTTCTAACTTGTGAAACATCTCAACAACACTGCTTGATTTTTTAAAGTGAAACTGTCAATCCACTACTGATTTAGTAGAGTGCTGAGAGCTACCCATGTTTCAGACACAATCTATGGAGAAACACTGCTCTGCAGATGGTCTATAAGGCAATCATTCACGCCTATGAGTCTATCACTGAATCAGTGAAGAATCTCAACTACATGCCGCCATTCAGATCAGTTGCCAGACAAGAGGATCAACCCATTTGGTAATTACACACAGCACCATGATATAGCAGGACCAAAATTAATTTATCATGCCCTCTTGCTATGTCTCTCTATCTGCCCTGAACAAAATCCTGTTAACATCCCTTGTCTTGTTTTTCAGTGACTGGGAACAAATTCCACTCAGTCATCCAAGCCAGAAGTTCACTGTGGTCTTTGATTCCTCTGTCTCCTTCACTTCCATAAGATACTGTCATTCACCAATTCCTGATTTCTATGCCTAATATTTATGAAAGCTGCTCTTTTCTCATCTTTCCTACTACCACAAGCATTCTCAGTACCAGCACTAGTCACAATAGTCAAAACATGGAAACATATATGTCCATCAACAGATGAATAGATAAAGAAGATGTGGAATATTATATGGAATATAATGGAATATTACTCAGCCATGAAAAAGAACAAAATAATGCTATTTGCAGCAACATGGATGGATCTAGAGAGTATAATGCTCAATGAAGTCAGACAGAGAAAGATGAATATTATATAATATTGTTTATATGTGGAATCTAAGAAACAAATAATATAAATGAATTTATATTCAGAACAGAAATAGACCCACAGACATAGAAAACAAGCTTATGGTTACCAAGAGGGAAAAGGGAGGGAGGGGAAGGATAAACTAGGAGGATAGGATTAACATTTACACACAGCTATACATAAGGTAGATAACCATCAAGTATAGTATAGCACAGGAAACTATACTCAATATTCTATACTAACCTAGAAGGGAAAAGAACCTGGAAAAGAAAATTATGTGTGTGTGTCTGTGTGTGTGCATGTGTGTGTGTGTGTGTGTGTGTGTATCTCACTTTGCTGTATACCTGAAACTAACACAACATTGTCAATCAACTGTACTTCAATAATTAAAAAAAAAAAAAATCCCAGTTTCCATACTGTACCAGAGTGATTTCTATAGAATGCAACTGAGTATGTCAATCTTGTGTTTAAAATCCTTCAAGATTTCTCTGACCTTGTGCTAAAATCCATGAAGTTCAGATGCCTTAGTTTGACTTGTGAAGTCAACCGCAATCTATTTTCTGACCGTGCTCATAGTCTACTTCTCTTAGTCCCAGCCATACTGTGTTTATTCCTCAGACTATACAAAGCTCTATCAAACCCCAGGCATTTCCACTTTGAATTTCCATTATCTTGAAAAATGTTATTGCCCCATCCTCCAATAAAACTCATCTATTACCTCGGTCACACCAATTGTATTATCTTTCTCTCTAACCTATGCCCGCCAACTCCTCCTCATTGTTCACGGCTCAGTTTAAATTCATCTTTTTCCTAGAAACCTTCTCCAAGGCACAGGTAAGTTAGTCTCCTCTCTATGTGTACTCATCCTTAGTTCTTTGCGTTTACCTTATCATAACATTTGTCATACTTTCTTGTAATTGTAGTTATTTAATTGATTACACATTCCAGGACACAAAATCCTTGAAAAGACAGACTATATCAAGTTTACTTTTATACCCCCAGGGTCTAGTATAGTACCTGGATCATAATAGCTGTTGCATAAATTCATTCAACAAATATTTGTTGAGCATCTACTACATAGCAGGCACACTATTAAGTTTTGAGTTCACAAGTGATACGTGGTATCTAAATTCATAGACTTTTAGTTGGGGAAGATGGGTTAAATGAACTAGACATATACATGAATGCATGCAGGAGTGAATAAATGAATGGGTAAGTGAATGAAGCCTACAACCAAGAGTAGGACTAGTTTGTTCATAAACTAGGGCATATGCAGCTCTTCTGTTTTGGAGTTGCTCCTTTTTATCAGTAGACAAAATTACATATGATGCAGGCTGGAGTTAAGAAAGTAAAGAAGATAGCTTTTTTCTTTTTTCCCTCCAAATCTAACTTTGGGTGAGGATCACTAATACCCCCATACACTCTTGTGGGAATTACTAAAAAAAAAAATACAGGATTTCTGCTCTCGACCTCCAGCAAGATAGACAGGGCAGGTTGCTGGGGGAAGAAAAGGTAGAGATGGGGGAATAACTGGGAATCAAAGAGCACAACGAACTCTGCAGAGGGTAGGCCTAGGGGGCTGGCTGCAGTGGAGGGATTCAGAGTGCCAGAGGGCAACAAGAGGGGCCTGGGCTCTTGGGCCTGGGCTATTGCCCCCCAGTAGAAAACAATAAGGAAGAAAGCAGCTTTACCTACATCAGATAATCTTGGAAGAAAGTATGTATGCATGTTGATGTTTCCTTGTTTCTAAACTGGGGATTACTGGTTGTAAAGAGTAAACAAGATCATAACATTTAAAAAGCATTTGTGACAAGAGTCTTACATATACTACTCATTATTTGGATTTTAATTGCATCTTTTCCTTTGAGTGACTGCTGCTTCTATTTGACTTCTTCCTCATTTCAACTCCCTACCCTACAGCTCACCCTATCTGTGGTTGCAATCTATGAGGACAGAGCAAAAGTCTCCACTGTTCTTAGTGGGCAAGATTCACAGAACCATATTTGAAAACCTAGGAAATCATTCCAAAGACTGAAACCAGTACTTGTTGAAGTAATAAAGACATAGGGTGTGAAGGTGCGATATTTATGCTATGTTTTTACGAAGGTGCGATATTTATGCTATGCTATGTTAATCTACCCACTTGAACTGTAGTGTTGGAGAAAACTCTTGAGAGTCCCTTGGACTACAAGGAGATCCAACCAGTCCATCTTAAAGGAAATCAGTCCTGAATGTTGGGAGGACTGATGCTGAAGTTGAAATTCCAATACTTTGGCCACCTGATGCAAAGAACTGATACGTTTGAAAAGACCCTGATGCTGGGAAAGATTGAAGGGGGGAGGAGAAGGGGACAACAGAGGATGAGATGGTTAGATGCATCACCAACTCAATGGACATGAGTTTGAGTAAACTCCAGGAGTTGTTGATGGACAGGGAGGCCTGGTGTGCTGTAGTCCATAGAGCTGCAAAGAGTAGGACATGACTAAGCAACTGAACTGAACTAAACTGAATCTACCCACACATGCAACTTAATCTGAAGCAAATTGGAGAATATTGATACTACCCGGTCTCACCTACAGTTGTGTGATTTTTAGTAAATATCTCTCCAGAATAGCAAGAGTCTACTAAGCGTTAGAGGCAGATACCATAATTTTAATCAATATATATTCTTTATTCTTTCCTTTTTTAGGTACTGGAAAATGCCTGTACTTATCAAATTTAGGGGGCTTCCCTGATAGCTCAGTTGGTAAAGAATCCACCTGCAATGCAGGAGACCCTGGTTCGATTCCTGGGTCAGGAAGATCCCCTGGAGAAGGGATAGGTTACCAACTCCAGTATTCTTGGGATTCCATTGCGGCTCAACTGGTAAAAGAATCTGCCTGCAATGCAGGAGACCTGGGTTCGATCCCTGGGTTGGGAAGATCCCTTGGAGAAGGGAAAGGCTACCCACTCCAATATTCTGGCCCAGAGAATTCCATGGACTGTAAAGTCCATGGGGTCGAAAAGAGCTGGACACAACTAGCGACTTTCACTTCACTTCACATCAAATTTGAGACTATGACCAAATTCTGCCCAGTGGAACATGAAATGGAAATGATGCACTTTTCAGATGATATACTTAAAAGGTATTTACTTGTCTTCTACTCTTTTATCTGCACTTCCCTGTTCTGAGAAATGGATCCAGAAATGAAAGTCCAGTACTGAGGATGGAAGAGTCATTCTAAACCACTTCTAAACCATTTCTAAACCACTTCTCCACAATTTCATGAGAAAGAAAAATAATTTTTCTATCTTATTTGGGTTACTGTGTTTTTTTTTACAGCAGCATTACCTGTACCTTAACTAATACATCATTCATATAAATCAACCAAAAAAACACCCAAACAGTTACCTTGTATATCTGAAGGAATACATCAGTCCATGATCGTTTACTCCAGGCTTCAAAGTGTATCATATCTATAACAACAGAGTGCTTTCCCTTAGGTATGTGGGACAACTTGGCTGAGGTACTAGTGGAAGACTATAAGAAATAATATATTAAAATATTAATTACAATGCAAGGGAAATGTAAATCCAAAGTTTTAATTACTTAGCATTATATATATATATATTTTTTCTTTTTATAAAACATTTACATGTCCTTTATACCCATTCATCCAGAATTCCAACTCTCCATGGGCCAGTAATGGAAACTATCAACATAGATAACTTTCTGGAACTCACAGCCTCTATCTGAGGTCATAGGGTTACTCATTTATTGTACCTGCTAGATCATTTTGTGGCAAAAGTGGCACTTCAGTCAGTTCAGTCGCTCAGTCAGGTCTGACTCTTTGCAATCCCATGGACTGCAGCATGCCAGGCTTCCCTGTCCATCACCAACTCCCGAAGCTTGCTCAAACTCATGTCCATCAAGTTGGTGAGGCCAAATGAGATGCAAAATTATTCTGAATTCTGAACCCCCCCAAAGAGCCACACCCTTTGGATGAAGCCACAGGAACTCAGCAGATACCGAAGAACAGGCCTCTGGCTCTTGTACTAATGTCATGTGGTGACTATAGTAACAGTGCTACAACTAACAGAGTTTCCTCAAAGCCTACAGACTTCTCATGACAATTCCTCTTCTCAATAGGTCTCCATAAAATGAATTGCATAATTTGAAAAAAAATTGCTTAATTTCTCCCTATTCTCCACTAAAACTGAAGAAGGGAAGTAGCAATTGTCAGGGAAAATAAACCAATATTTTCTTTGAAAGATATATATTCTAAACATGTATTTTAAGAAAAAATTTACATAAGTACAGAACATTCTTCATTTCTAAGTCCCTTAAAAGAAGCAATCACCTGTATATTTAAGAAAGGCATGTAATCTATTTTGCGTGGGAACTCCACAGAGATTTTTAGACAAATAAAAATATGTATATATGTGTGTGTGTGTGTGTGTGTGTGTGTGTGTGTGTGTGTGTGTGTGTGTACACACGCACACATACTGTCTGGAGAGGCATAATCCTTAAGATATTTCATATATTTCATAAATAAAAATCAAGGATTCTAAACCAAAAACCAGTAAATTCAATAATAGTGAATTCAATAATTTCTCAGAAATTAAATTCCCTTACTGTAATTTCAATCCACTTCTTATAATCTTCTGGTTCAAGCAGAAATTCTGGCAGTACATGAGAAATACAAGCTCCTTGAGCACTAAAATTAAAAAAAAAAACCCCAATTATTATAGAATACTCACAATCCATCTATCACTTGCATTTGAACTTCAATGAAATTATTTCAATGTCATATAGTTTATACATGTACTGAATTCTAATTTTAAAAGTTATATGATTTTAAAACTTGCCTTACCAATGAAATGTGCATATGATGTCTCCTTCAGAGAATTAATAATGAGAAATAACTTACTAAGTGTCTATAACCATATATATACACATTTACATGCTAATGGGACATAGAGAATTATATGACTTGGACCCTATTGTCAAGACCATTTTATTGTTGTTATAATATTATAAAATTGAAAAATACTTGCAAAAAGTTTGAACTTTATACAACATCTATTAGATAGATCATTAGTAACCCTATGTTCATTGAATGCCTATCACCACATATACCTGAATATATTAGAATAACATAAACCACTGCCTATTTTTCCAGAGTATATCCAAAAATTGCAGCCTCTTTGATTATATAAACTTGTAGTATCTGAAATGGCAAATATCTACTTATTTTATACATTTAAAAGCATATACATGTATATACTTTATCATATTTTATAGTATGTTTTTTTCACTGTCACATTTCTTGAAATACTTTTATCAAAAGTCTTTATATGCATGTACACTATTGCAAGAACCACTTTATAGACCTCTAATATAATTTTAGCAGGAGTGTTTCTCAGTGGGATTTTGGGTGTCACTAACTCATTTAGTGAGCAGAGAACACTGCTTACTATAAGCATTTAACAGAGAATTTACCATTAGCATTTTACAGAGAATGCCAGACCTAGTACTTAACTCTATAAACACCCTCAGCAGCTTGCAGTCCTGTAACTAGTGACAAGTGGGAAAAAGAAAAAACAGAAAGATTATGCTGAAAGCTCAAACCTTGAAGATAACACAGATGAATGAAAAGAGGTAGGGCCTGTTTGTGGGAGGTGAGGCAGAGAGCATGGTTCCAGAGTTGTCAAGTTTGCTGTGGCCCAGGGCTAGAAAAAGCTATTAGAAGAAATCATGCTACAAATATAAAGCTCCTTTGTTTGGAAAATAAATGTCATTTCTTCTCTTCTCATTTCCCATCTGCATTTACATTATTCCTATGAATCTTCATTACACTGGAATTACTATAGGTTAAAATAAAATCTAATTTTAATGGTATACCACTACTTAGCAGAAGTAGCCACACTAAAGCCTATGTAAGAACTCAGTGAGATGATGCCCCAGTAACTTGAAATCCTAGAGGTAAAACAAAGACAACTCAGAGACTTATGAAGAAACTGTAATATTTCCTTGCATGCAAAGCCAAGACAGGATCTGAGGAGAAAATAGTCACTTCTATCAAATGCAACTGAGAGCCTAAGGAAAACTATCAGGAAACCACTAAACTGAGAGTTGCTTGAAGAGGGGGACCACAAGGGTATTCATTTGAATATTCCACATTGCTCACCAGAGAGTAGGCCCTCAGTAACAAATTGAGGCTGAAGAATGCATTTTTGCATTGTTAAAGGCAAGGCAACAAGCCCCAAATGGAGCTGCTTATACTGAACCCCATGCCACCAAATCAAGACTGTATTAGTTTTGGCTCCCCCAGAAATGGAACCGCAAACCAGTCAATCAGAAATCACCTGATCAGCACTAGTTAGGTCACTTGCCTGACAGACCTGCCATCCCCTAAAGGAAAGTAAACTTGGAATAACTAACCTTTTTTTTTTTTTGGCTGTAAGGGCAGAAAATTTGTTCTTTCTTCCCTTCTAAATTTGTCAGCTTGTCTAATAATCAAATTGACACAAGACAGATTAACAGGGAACAAAACACATTTAACTACATAACTGTGAAGTGAAGTGAAAGTCGCTCAGTCGTGTCTGACTCCGCAACATCTCCTGCCCTGTATACCTCTTAGAGCTCCTTTCTCTGTGCTAGACCGAATGCTGACCAGCTGATGAATTGCTGAAAGCCAGTAAGATCTTCCCAGGTGGCACTAGTGGTAAAGAACACGCCTGTTAATGCAGGAGACACAGCTTTCATCCCTGGGCTGGGATGGCTATAGGGTCCATGGAATTCTCCAGGCCAGAATACTGGAGTGGGTAGCCATTCCCTTCTCCAGGGCATCTTCCCAACCCAGGGATTGAACCCAGGTCTCCAGCATCGCAGGTGAATTCTTTACCAGCTGAGCCACAAGGGAAAACCTTATGGGAGCCCCACGGGAAACCCTTATGGGAGCCCCACAGAGACATGAAGACTCAAAGGTAGCCAGGCAGTTGAGGCTTACATACTATCCTGAGCTAAGGAGAAGGAGGTAGGGATCTGGGGCTTCAAGGAGGAGGAAAAAAAATTCACAGGAAGATAGGAAGTACAAATGTTGGTAAACAAACGTGTGCCATGCCATGCCATGCCATGCAAATCAGTCTTTCTGATGTAAAAAGTGGTTGCTGGTAATAGCTCCCTTCCAGGTACAGGCCCCCCACTTAAATTCTTTTAGGCAGTTAAGGGAGAGGTAGAATGCTGTTCATGAGTCTGCTGGTTCTCAACTGCCATCTGCTGAAAACAATTCCCATACCAAAGTGGGACTTTGGGGGTGACTTATATGTTCCCGCTCATTGCCTCAATTCAACTTCCTGTTCTTGCCCCCTTCTGCCTAAAAGCATCTCTTGCCCTGTGTACCTCTTCAGGGCTCCTTTCTCTGTGCTAGACCGAATGCTAACTGATGAATTGCTGAAAGCCAGTAAGATCTTCCCAGGTGGCACTAGTGGTAAAGAACACGCCTGCCAATGCAGGAGACACAGCTTTGATCCCTGGGTTGGGATGATGCCCTGGAGGAGGGCGTGGTAACCCACTCCAATATTCTTTGCCTGGAGAAGCCCATGGACAGAGGAGCCTGTTGGGCTATGGTTCACAGGTCACAAAGGGTCAGACAAAATTGACCTGACTTAGCATAGCGGTAAGAACTTTCAAATTTACTCAGCTGAATTGTGTTGTTGCTTTATTTTTTAAACATAGAAATATTTATTTAGTAAAGTATGACCCATACATTGTTCTTTTTAAAAAATTTCACTTTATTTTTAATTGGAGGATAATTACTTTACAGTATTGTAATGGTTTCCGCCATACATCAACAGGAATCAGCCATGGGTGTACACATGCCCCCCTCTCTCTTAAACCTCCCTGCCTCCTCCCTCCCCATCCCACCCCTCTAGGTTGTGACAGGGCACTGATTTTGGGTTCCCTGTGCCATGCAGCAAATTCCCACTGGCTACTTTGCTCTTTAATGGCACTTTATAGAGGCTGTTATGAAGTGAGGGGTAATAGAATAAGCCACGCTAAAATATGCCTCTTTTGCATACTGATTATTTGGAAAAACTGCAGACAGGAGAAAATCTGAAAACAGAGAAATGTTCTCCATTTGTAAGGGAAATCTACATTTATAAACAAAATTTACATTAGAAAGGGGGACTGTACCAGGAAGAGAGCTATTACCAGGGATAACTTTCTCACCCAAGAGACCCATATGCATGGCAGAATAAGCTTTCTTTATCAAACATTGCCTCCTCTCATCTTCCAGTAGATCCCACCCACCCCCACCCCTCTGCCTTACCCTTTGAAGCCCTAGACCCTTAAACACCTTAGGTCAGGACTGCATACAAATTTCTATATTCTGGCTGCCTTCTGAGTCATATTTTTGTGAGGCTACCATACTACCTACATACATAATTAAACCTGGGCTTTTTTCTTCATGTTAATCTGTCTTGTATTCTTGAAGTTCAGCCCAAAACTTACAGGGGTAAAGGGATAATTAGTTTTCCTTCTCTGTATGAGTCTCACTTCATTCTTTTCATTTTTAATATATCTCAAGGCCTAATTTCATCAATTGATAAGACAACATTTACAATTATCTTTTGCCAATAGATTTTATGTGTGGTCAGTACTTTTATAGGATTGACTCTCCATTGATTTGGTTACATTTTATATTTGATTACATTTATGCAGTTTTCTATGTGAATCTTCGTCTGGGTTTACACTGAGTAGAACAAAACAAAATTAACTGAAATGACTTATTAAAATTTAAACTTAACCTGCAAAATTATACTTTCTCATTTACCACATAAAACATATAATTTTACTTGTACAAAAGTTCTCATTCGCTGACATCAAATTTACATGGGGAAGCTAATAACATTTATGATTATTCTGAACTTTAATACATTTATTTCCATAATGAAACATATACACATATCTTGGATTAATGGCCCAATTTTATTACTCATCCTGTCACTCTCTAAATGTTGAAGAATTTTATCACAGGCAACATATACTGATAGGCATGTATTTGCTGATAAAAGAGCAATAAATTTGAATACCTTGGCTTTAATGCCAAAATTATTCTTCCATACCTGCATCCTTATACCATAAAATGTCAAAACAGAAACTACTCATGTTAATGTTAACCCTACTGGGAGCTGTGCCAATAACAATGCTCCAAGAATAACACGATGATCACAAGTGCATAGAGTTTAATGATGCTATCAGAAAACTTTGATTTTTATAATGCACGAACAGTAAGGATTTATTTAAATAAGCAGACTACCGTTTTTGTTCACATTTAACATTCCATTAGATTTTAAAAGCAAAACTAAACTTCCAAAATAATGGCATTATGATTTTTGCCTTATTGAATTACAGCATTTTTATTGAATGAATCATCAAGGACCAAGTGTAGGAACTGGTAAAATTAAAAGAGAAGTCATGTATTTTCTGTTTTAAACTCATAAAAATTTAAATAAATTTCCCATTTTATCTAATAAAGACATACTTGAACAACCTTACAGACTGGAAGAAAATATTTGCAAATGATGTGACAAACAAAAATTTAATTTCCAAAATATACAAATGACTCCTACAACTCAATAACAACAGCACTAAAAAATAAATTAAAAAAAAAACTCAACTGAAAAATGGGTAGAAGACCTAAATAGACAA